TTGAGCGCGTTAGCTCAATAAATCCTGAAGATATTCCCTTTTATTTAAGCAAACAAGCTTAGAGCCCAATTCCAACATCCGAAATTCTCAGCCAGGCTTGCTTCCAACACATGAGCATCGTATCGATCACTACACGAGGTACCAGAACATGACTGCATACCTTTGCCGAATTCTCACCATGCACCACATCATCCACAGGATTATAGTAACATTCTATGATCGTAATGAGCGACATTCCCCGAATCTGATGCTCATAATGCACTTCATGTATATATATATATGTGTGTGTGTGTGTGTGTGTGTGTGTGTGTGTGTGTGTGCATGTGTGTGTGTGTGTGTGTCTTATTCCAACTCCCGGAATGCTGCCATGACGGAAGAGATGTGTAGAAATTCATAACCAACTGCAGAGTCAACAAATCATTGAGTCTATATTCCTGACAAGAACATTACCTCATTCTGAAACAAATAATGATCTTTGCTCTTTAATATACTTCATACAATCCGATTGCACTGATCCTAGGTCCAATAACCTTGTCTCACCCACTACGAACTACTCAAGAAACAAGCCACCCCAAACATGACCAAAAGCCTCATATGATGCCACCATGTGCCCATAGGCTACCAACTCGAACGTGATACATAAGGAAAATGAACTTTGGAAGGGACTACTCAAATCATGCAACTAATGTGAACTTTTCTCAAAAAATGGGAAACAAAACACACAAAATAGAATATAAGGGACGGTAATCATCATCACACCGTTGCGGCGTGAAACCCGATCCAAACAACATACCCATCCCGATCCAAACAACATACCCATGGCGACGTGCCACCCGATCCACACATAAAATTTACATAAGGAGATACACATCGAGCTAAATTGCTCATTACAACACAATGACGAATATCGATCACAAGCACGCTAAGTGCATAATACCATCCCTGAGGGGACATATAGCGCCATAGGTCCCTTTCTTATGGTCATGGAGGAATTTCGGACCCCCTAAATCTGGACAGTTCTAGACAGCCTAAGGTTTATGAAAAGGCAAAAATCTAGGCGACAGACAAATAACATATAGGACAAACAAATAAGGACATACACTTAGAAGGCTCACATTTTACCTCCGTATGTATATAGGCAGTCAAACAGCACGTCTAAAACACAGCTTTTTCAAAAGAAGTTCAGAAATCCTAAGAACATGATATCACAAAAATAGAACATGTAGCGTTTGTGTTTTTAGGGAAGTAGCAGGATCCTAACCAATTTTCCTATTGGTTTACAGCTTGTTAAACCTGGATAATTTCACATATAGACAGCGTTGGTTTCACGATTATTTAACGCCCTAAGGCTTGCCTAAGTGCGTATATGCAGTCACATTTCTGAAAAAGACATTTTTTTGAAATCATTTATCCTATAGGCATGCTTTCTATTAATTAATTAACACGGCGTTGAGGACTATTAAAGAAACGTGTAAGATAATTGATTAACTGATTCAGAACCAATAGGCATGATTTCTAATTAAACTGGTTTAGATCCTATAGGCATGATTTCTACGATTAAGGCTGATTTTAAATCCTATAGGCATGATTTCTATGCTTAAAGTTGATTTTTAATCCTATAGGTATGATGTCTAATTATATATAAGGTGAAGCAAGCAGAATTTATTTGACCAAAGTGAAACCCCTATAGGCATGTTATCTAACAAACACACTTGAACAAAATGAACCCTATAGGCATGTTATCTAACAAACACATTTGAACGAAATGAACCCTATAGGCATGTTATCTACCCATCTTTACCCACAGGATACAACTATCCTCCCTTTTCACTAGTCACCCCAATATCTGTTTACAAATAATTATTACAAACCAATGATTGAATAAAAACTACATAAATAGAATAGAAATTAAGCTATAGGGAGCCTGAAGTAGGCCCAAAGCAAATCCTGGTGTACCAGGCCTTCACTAGTCTCAAATGCCCAAGATTTCATAGCCCAATTTATGCCCAGGTGTGTCAGAGTTCCCTAAGGATCTCAAGGATCCCGGGAAGTGCTCACACCCAGACTTTCTCAAATAAAGACTGATTGTGTGCAATGTGGAAGTGTTAGCCCTAATATGCCAGAGTTTGGAGTGGTCTCATGGACCTCTAAGAGTACACATACCAGAGGGGCAGAACTTAATAACCTAAGAATAAGTGAGAGTACTTGGCATGATTTGAAAGAGTTTTTGGTAAACAGTATAAAGAAGAGTCTTAGGAGTGAAGAGATTCTCTAAAACCAGCACTAGTTTGAGTGGTAAAACAGTTTGAGAAAAACATGAAGAACATTTTTGAAATCAGAGTCCAAGTCGCAAAACAAACAGCTTCAAAAACACTTTTGGGCAAACAGACTCTGCATATAGGGAGAAAGGGATTTGGGGACATATAGAATACACCCTAATGCATAAGCAAACAGATGCACAAGCTTCTCAAGAAATTGCAAGTTAATTACAAAGGTTCAGCAAAGACATGTTGAGAACACATAGATCTTGAACACACAATCAGAGTACTTTGTAGGGCTAGATGACTTAGCAGGATCTCATTAGTGAAGTAGAGTAAGCAAGATTTAGATGAACAAACTAGGCAAGCACTTCATGAAAACATTCATAGTTTGGAAATACTAATCACAGATAGAACAAGCAGAATTAAGACATGCTTGGTGAATCAGTAAACAAGCAATGTAGCTTGGACATGCTAATGAGCAAACAGTATGCATGCAATTATCACAAGGCAGGATTGGGCATACTAAACAGTAAACAGATTCTTATGGATAAATATACTAGTCAGAACAAACTCCAATATGCTAAGTGAGACAGTAGTTAGGCAGTGTGATCTAGGCATGATGATTACACATTGAGCGCATAATAGTAAGATAATAAACAGGATTGGAAGTCACAACTAATGAATTGAAACAACAAAGAAACACATAGTTTTGGAATTTGAATTGAATCAGAACATACCAGCTGAAGAGAGGATATGGAGTATAGAGTAGAGATGGTGCTAATAGCCAGCCTTGGCTTACAGCCGGCTAGGTTAGTAAGGATTACAAGTAACAGAAAAGAATAGAGAGCTTTGAGAATGTGAGAGTGTTGATGAACTAATGTTCGTGTCCTTTCAAAAGTCAGAATGGGGAGATTATAGCACTTAGCAGAGTAAACATATAAGGCAAAGAATGATCAAGAGTTCCAAATAAGGTATGCAAGTAAAATTAAATAGTTAATTGGGGCTAAACTCAAACAAATAATTCAACAGAATCCGGAAAGCACCCCTTAAATTAGGGAGAATCAATTAACAGCCAAGTTACAGGTTCAATAAGGTAAATAAATCAATCAAAGACCCTCTAGGAGTCGGTTAAAGCAATTAAATCCTATAAATCAGGCTAATAAACCAATTAAGGCAAGTAGTACCAGTCATGAGTCACAAATAAGGAAAGAAATCACAGAGAAGTACCAGTCTCGGCAAAAATATAATTTGAACCCTAATTAGGCAAATAAAATTAGTCAATCCTTTTTAATTGACAGAACTAACGAATAACGGGCAAAATATTGAAATAATCAGTGAAATAAGCAGAAACCCTAGGGATTAAAACATAGATATGAAAAATCAGTCGAACAAGTAAAGAGAACTACAGTCAAACACTTTCGAATTTTTGCAGAAAACTTAAAGGGATGAAACCCTAGTTTGAAAACACTTAAAGAAGAAAACTTGAAGGCATGTCAACATACAGAGATTCGAATAAACAGAAGTCATAGAAGGCAAAACCTGAAGTATTGTAGTGCTTAAAATTCGGTCAGTAGTAAAGGAGTAAAAGAACCCAGAAGAGTAGCCATGGAAGTGTAAAAATGTTTCAGATACATAGAGGTTCGACCAACAAACAACAAGAAAATAAACCCTAATATAACAAAAAATGTTCAGACATCGATTAACTAGTAAAAAAGTAAAGGAACTTTTAGGAAAATCAACGATTAACTCAGGATCGTTCCCGATCTACGGAGATCTGAACCGATTCGAGTCCAAACATTGGGTTTCTTGAAGAAATGAGAAAGGGTAAGAGGATTTGGCCTTTGAATCAAGGATTTGAACCGTGAGACTTCGATAGAAATCACTCACATGCCATGGACAAACTCTTGAAGAGCTTTAAACGAGTTCTGGACCAGATCTCTTCGAGGTCCTTCCACAAAAACCACACAATCGAACAACCAGGGAGATAGGAGACAAGTAGAGGCCTCGTACAGCCATAGGAAGCCATAGATCGAGTAGGAATCACAGGGATTAGGGATGGTTTTGGGTGGCGGCGGCTAGGGTTAGGTTTAGGTATCAGAGAGAATTGGAGAGGAAAGGGGGTTTCAGGGCGGCTGTTTGGTGAAAAATGACTTAGGGTTTCGGGGGTTAGGTTAGATAAAAAAAGGAAGGTTTTATATGTCGAATAAAGTGTAGATAAGTTCCATGATGCATGATATAACAAAGCAGTTCCATGTGAATGTGAAATCCATGAGCAGTTCCATCAGATGTTGAATCATGATTTAAAGTTTATGAATTTAAAATTTTAATGTGCTTAAGTTATTGGATTCTAAATTAATGATATGTATACATTAATGAATTTCTAAACAAATACAAAATTTGAACCAATACAACTGAGTTCAATATGTACTTAATAAATGGCAATGTGAGGTTTGTATTCTAAGGTAAAATTATTGTCACAATATCGACCCTTTGAATTGTTTACTAATCCACATTTATTGTAAATAATCTCTTTTAATTACCTACTAAATAAGATGATAAACAAAAATTTGCATGGGTTATGTATAAAATAAGTGATAAAATCACTCATTTTTTGTGAAAAATATTTTCTTCGTACCAAACACACCCTTAATGTAATATTGTATGCCCTACATTTTTATTTACCCATTATCCTTATATTTTGTTATTTACCCTTAAACCTTAATCTATTCATTTATTTGCAAATAGCACAACAACCAACTATTCAGCTCACCTATAAACTACTTTCTGCTTCCGCTCAACTTCCCAATTACACCGTTACCGCCCAACCGCTATAAAATCCTCGCCGGAGCCACTCCATTTCCCGATCAGATTTCAATTTTTCGGTGAGGATAGAGAGAGCGAAAGATATCGATTGCTGAATTTTCTGAGGTAAGCCAAAAGATTGATTCATTATACATTGCGATTTTGCATTTGCCAACTGTGATATACATATTTCTTACCGCATGGTTTGTATTGTTTCATTCATCTTTTGATCTTTTCGTATTCCTTGTGTTTTTTATTTATTTGGAAAATGAAGTAGAAAAGTGAGATCTTTGGATGCAGTGAGAGTTGTTGAGAATTGTAGACGAAATGGCTGCAAGGAAGGCTGGCTTAATTGCTTTATTTGATGTGGATGGAACTCTTACAGCGCCTCGCAAGGTATCATTGTCTTAATTGCTTCATTTGCAAGTAAAACTGTATGAGTTGTTACTAAATAGAGCAAGATGGTTATGGATGATTCAGATAACTGATTCCATCCTATAGAGTAGAATGGATGTGGAGGATTCATATAACTGAACCCAAGTAGTAGTGTTGTCGTAGTATTAGTTGTCGTTTTTAAAGTTAAACTATTTTAAAATTTTCGCTTATCGTGATTGGAGATGAGATTTCTTTCTTGTCTGTACAAATACTGTCTAGAATTCTTATAGTGTTTTAGATATCCCCTCTTTCATGATGTTTCAGATGTTCTCCTTCCTTTTCATTCTTTTTAAACCAACTTACTTCCTAGTCAACTTTATCATCCCTGTAAAGATTTTGAATTTTCTTCTTTCGAATTTCCCTCACACTTTCAGGTAGTTACTCCAGAAATGTTGGAGTTCATGCAGGAACTCAGAAAGGTAGATGATCTTTGTAATATATTCCTTTTTTTTTTCTCCTTTGTCTCCTCCTTGTGGAGAAGTCTTATTCTTTGTACTTTTTATTTTGAAAAGATCCTTACAAGTTTGTCTGCTTTTAGGTTATCACTGTTGGAGTTGTTGGAGGTTCAGACCTTGTGAAGATATCAGAACAGCTTGGAAAGACAGGTTAGTTTAGCCAGATCTCAGTGAGAGATTTATAGTTAATGATGCACGGTTAATGACCTGAAAATTTGTGGATAGGACTTGTAGTTGATGTGCTGCATCAGTTCAACTAGAGCTCATGTGTGTAGCTTTGCACCTAAAGTTCCTCCTAGCATTAGTGCGAGAGTAGAACCATGGTTGCATCAGCCTAAAAGCTAATGGAAGAACATTGAACGATTTAGATTTGGAGAATTTTTTTACTAAGTATCCTTTTCATTCTAGCTCCATCTAAGCTAATAAAATTGTTTTTCCCTCCTAAATTTGGTTCCATTCTTTGAGGTCCTTGTGTGTCCACATGAGAACTGCCCCAATAAAGTGTAGATAAGTTGCTATCCCTTCATCCCCCAAATGAACCAAAAAGAAAGGAGAAACAGTCATGATGTGATCACCTCATCCTCTGGTTGTATCTTTCTTTTCCCAGAGGAAAATTTGAGCCTTTATGATTGATGAAGCAAAAGAAAATTAAAAGAAAATCAAGAAAAGAAATCCATCTATGACACACTTGGAATTGTTGGCAGTCTGTGTGTCTTACATGATTCAAACAGTCAAAATAAAACAAATGGTTAGCCACTGAAAAGTATGTGCCTGTCTTTTTGAGGTTGTCTTTCAGGACTCTCAAGAAGGTCACCTGAAAATTTAATGCGCATGGAGCATAGGTCTTCAAAAAAAAATTGGAACAAAGAAAGAAATATACTCGTAGTGAAACCTTAGTTGTTGGTGTTAAGCATTTTAGGTGTGCCATAAATCATAAGACCCCTGCGCTCTCCAGCTTCTTTCCTTCCCCGTTGCCCAATTCTCTGTTGCTTACTCGTTCCATCCTAAAAAACTTCTCCTTCCCATTTATGTCATCCCAATATGCTGTCCATTTTCATTTAGATGTCATCTGTTCCTGTCAATGCTTAATGCAGTTTCAGTTTTATACTTCTTAAACTGTATCCATTTTCAACCTAGTAAATAATCTCAAATATTTAGAAAGAGTAACCATTAATCTCACTTTTGTACCCACTTCTCTCGTAAATATGCATATATTTGACGCTGTACCCTTAAGCTATATGTCGAATCAATCTAGGAAAACGACAACAGGAAAATGGGTGTTTATTGTGCCTTTTAACTTCTGCTCAGGATTATCTTGGATAACAAATATTGGAAAATACGGCTTTCAAATTGATGTGGTAGTTACCTACTTCTTCTGTGTATTGACTTCTCTTATACACTTTGTATGCAGTTACAAAAGATTATGATTATTGTTTCTCTGAAAATGGCCTTGTAGCGCATAAGGATGGGAAACTTATTGGAACACAGGTAATGAGAAAGATTTTAATTCGATCTTATAGTTTGGCTTTCGATTGTGGTTTTGGTTAAAGTCGAAAGATATCTTTGGACGCCTGCACCATAAGAGCTTTAATGAGGAAAGGAACAATGATACCTATACAGGTTATGTATATCATGTCATGTTCTGCCTTTGTTCGATACTTAAACTGAGATTTCGACTGAATGCCTCTTGGGCCTTGGCAGACCATTTGCTCTTAGGAGTATTTGGCCTCAAACTTTAACCAAATCCTTTGTCTTCAAACATAAGCTTGTTATTGAAACTTCTTAACATGTGGAAATAAACGTAGTTGCAAATTGTCACTCAAGCACTTTGTTTGAAACTTATTAAGATAATGAACAAGCACAGTTTGCAACTTTTCCTCCAAGTTATAGCTTGGTCCTGAACTGTTAGTTCCAGTTTGTATGTTTCTTCATAGAAATGAAAACTTTGTCTAACAACTGCCATTTACATAGACAATAATCTCAAGAATTAGGGAATGGCTTCAAGAAATGTCCCTATGTTCCCGTTTTGGAGCACATTGCTATATTCTTTCTTCTAATTGGTCATTTCTGAAGCGATTTCTTCTTAAAGTGATGTGAATACCTTTATGCAGAGCTTGAAGTCATTTCTTGGTGATGGGAAGCTCAAAGTAAGTGATTGCATCTTCCGCTTAATGATTTCTCCGTAATAACTAAGTTGTAAAGAGGTCAATGTACATTACAGTGTTACTGTTACCTACCTAAACTAATGATAGTATATTTGCAAGACCAAGACGTGTTGATGAACTTAAAATGATTTGCAGGAATTTATTAACTTTACACTCCACTACATTGCTGACTTGGATATTCCAATAAAGAGGTGAGCACGATGAAAGATTTAGTGAGCTTGTTTCTGGCGAAAATCTTAGTCGCTGTCTCTTTTGCAGAGGAACATTCATCGAGTTTCGAAGTGGCATGCTAAATGTATCACCAATTGGGAGGAATTGTAGTCAGGAAGAAAGGGATGAGTTTGAAAAGTATGACAAGGTATAAACTCTTGCTTTAATTTATCACAGAAAAAGAAAAGGTATAATTGCTTCCTGTAGTACTGCAAATCGCATGTTTGCAGCTATTTTACTAAGATGTACTTCTGCCTTTTTTTTCTTGTCCTTCAAGTAACGGCTTAACAAAATATATTCAGGTTCACAGGATACGTGAAACAATGGTAACAGTGCTCCGCGAAAAATTTGCACACCTTAATCTCACCTTTTCTATTGGCGGCCAAATCAGTTTTGATGTGAGCAGCTCAAGTCTTTGCTTGCGCTAGGGTAATCTTTTAGTTCATAAAAATAGCTTATCAAGGGATAACTTGGAAAATTTTGCTTGTGATAGGTCTTCCCTCAAGGCTGGGATAAGACATATTGCTTGAGATACCTCGATGAATTTAACGAAATTCACTTCTTCGGGGACAAGACATACAAGGTACTATGTCCTTGTATACTTGAAGCTCTTTTCTTTAGTAGTTATATGGTCCTAGAATCTGTGGATAGTTTGGTTGGGAGTGAGAGTCTTTCTTTATAACTGAACAGGGAGGAAATGACTACGAGATTTTTGAGTCGGAAAGAACTGTTGGTCACACAGGTCAGCATAATTGTTCAATTCATTCTTGTGATATTTGGATTATTCTGTTTATGAGTGCCCTAAGAATCACATTAATTATGGTTCTTCTTTAAAATAATTTTTATTTTTCTGTTGCTTACTTCAGTTACTAGCCCAGAGGATACCGTAAAGCAGTGTTCTATTCTTTTCCTTGGCAAGGATAACGGAAGTTGAGCGTGCCACAAATTTCCTGTATGCCAGTTATGAGTTCGTAATTTTGTGTGCACGAGGAACAAATAATTGCAAGATGCTTGTAGTTGAGTTTACTCATCAAAATCTGCATTATCTATACGTACATTTCATTCTTAAAGTCAATAATATATCATTTCTTTGCATTAAGAATAAAAACTCTCCTCGGGAGATGGTTTATTACAAGAATATGCAGTTATATAAACAATAGTGTAATATCATCATTCAGCGAATAGTAATTCTTGAATCCTGACAGCATACCAAATTGATAGACCATTCGGAACAAAGAACTGAAGAAGCCTTACATAAGGCACTATATTGATCAAGAGATGACTATCACGTGTTTATCACATAACTAGAATAAGAAATGGGATTTTTGCGTATATATACTATACTGTTAGACACTAATTTATCCGATTTTAATTATATTTTGCTATTTATCAAAAGTGACTTGGTTTTAGCTATGTAAAAATTCCATAAGGAATAATCTCGATAGAGATCCTCCTCGTCCGGTATTTCATTTTTTTACCTCCAATTTCAACACTAAGTCTTATCAAATAGAAAAAAACTATGACAAGAGAATAAACTGCAATAGAAGGAAAATGAAATCGGGCAAGAAGCACCTATGAAAATCATTGGTTAGCTTTAGAGGGTTGCAAAATCAACCAAAACCCATTTGACCTGCACAAGTTTTAATAGGTTGGGCTGGAAATACATTTATGATGGGCTAAGTTTTGGGCATAACCCAACTAAACCCATTTATTTCAGTAACCCAAACTAGCCCATGATTATGGCCCAAACTGACCCATGCATAAGCCAAATCAAATTTTTTATGGAAATTTTACCTCCTATAGTAAAGGTTGATATTTTATTTATTATAAATAAATACCTTTTACAAAATTATCTCATATAGCTACCTTTTAATTTTTATAGCAAAATATCTATTTATGGCCACTTCCTACCTTTAAGCCACTAAATATGTATTATTTTTCTTTCTCCCTCTCTCCTCCTTTCTCTTTCCTCTTTCTTCTCTTTTCCCCCGGTTTTTTCCTCCCCTGCTTTTAGAAACCCTAGCATGGGCTGTGTTCCGCCAACGACAGATCCGGCCAGCGACCACTTCCCCCCTTCCTTGTTGTGTCACCCCTAACCCCCTCCTCCGGCCGGCGATTTTCTTTCACACAGTTGTGTTAAATTTTTCTTAGATTTTGCATTGATTGTTCATGTTTGCCTTGTGAGATCTGAAGAAGTTCTATCTCTAGTTTCCGTTTGATCCTTTAAATTGGTGCTTCTTCAACAACTGTCTTTATTTAACCGGCGGCGACGCCCCACATAGCGGCGACCTGGATATCGGTGGATTGGGGACGGAGTTTGGAGCTGAGGAACTTAAAGAGTCTGTTACCTTTTTTTTACAGTGTATTCCAATGTATATCGCTGTATACCATGTATTTCATTGTATTCACTGTCTTTTTTTCATTGTATTTCAATGTATCTCGCTGTATTCCATGTATTTCATTGTATTCACTGTCTCGTTGTATTCCATGAATGTATTCATATATTTTTTTAATTAATATAATTTATGTATTCAAATGTATCTGCAGTATGTATTCACATATTTTTGCACTATAGATGACATGTTATACTTCATGTATTCAATGTATTTTTATGTATTTAACTGTATTCAATGTAATTATATAATTTCAATATATAAATCTATTTGTAAAGATACCATTAAAAATATTTTAGTAAAGATACTACTAAAAAATGAAAGGATGGATTGAATCTCTGAAGATTGCTCTGTTTTTGGGGTGTTTTTCGGTTGAGAGTCTTTTCTATAATTGAAAATACAAATTTTGTGTGTTATAATTGAGTTTGTTGAGTTATTATCGCGTTAATTGATTCACTTACCGTTTTTAAACAGCTGAAGACCTTTTTTTTCGCAAATTTCGTTACTGAATTTACGAATACAGCTCGCGAATACAGTCGAATACATTCTCTGCTTAGCTGGACTCCCATATTTTTCGCCGAGTTTTGCTTGTATTCATGAATACAGTAGCAAAAATACATCGAATACAGTCTATAACAACTGAAAACATAGCTATTGGAAGTAATTTAGTAAATGGTAGTTATAGTAAGCTAATAATCACTAAAATATAGTGATTTCCGAAAATTTCTTTTCTTTGTTTGCCTTGTCAATGATTCAGTTTCAGAGTTCAAAGTTCAAACCCAAATGAATTTCTAGTTTTCGACAGACTATGAACTACAGTTTATTTATAGAGTGCTTTAAGATGAAAATTAACGTAAAAAACTGCTTATATGTTTAATAACATTATAAAAATTTATACAAATAATACTGCAATAATATTATAGAGAGATTTTCTACTTCAACAACGTGTTTATAGTTGACATACTCAATTATATAAGCAATATTCTGTTTTTTTCTATATGGCACCATTGCTATTTATGGTATCTAATTACTCCGGAGTACATTTTATTAAAAATTTGATTTTCAAATTGAGACCCAAGTGTAGGCATGTAAATTTTATTAAAATTAAATCCATGAAATAATGTGGACTATATTTTAAATTCAAGATATATTGATCCAAATAAATATATGGGCTAATATAATTGAATTAATTATATAAGTCCAATATATATGGATTAAATAAATAAGTCTTATTCCATTGGGCTAGCCCATTTAATTAGGCTAAAGTAATGAACCCACTTCATTAAGCCCAAGATGTCATCTTCCTAGAGGCCCAGTTTGGTGCCACGTGTCAAATGACGTGGCACGCCAAGTCAAATGGAAGGGCCAATAGGACCATGCCACGTGTCAAAATGGCAAGGCATGCTCAGTCACACTGAAAGGCCAATGAAATCGTGCCACGTGTGCAAGTGACATATTCTGGCCAATCAAATGCGGCCATGTCACACTTTAATTTGATTGGTCGGAAAGAGTTTGTTCTTATCATGACTCCTCCCTCCCACAACTATAAATAGGGGTCTTCATAGCCCAGAAAAGAGACCAGAAGTTATAACAAGAAGCAAGAGAGAGCTCGTGGATCGAACACCGCAAATTCCTCCACAAGTTTCAAGCTTCAAGCAACCAAGTTCAAGCTCAAGAACGAAGAACAAATCAAGGTTCAAGGAGTGCGAGTTCAAATCAAAGTTCGTGCTAGTTGAATTCAAGATCATCGTTCGTGGCAACAAACATAGATTCAAGATCAAGCTCAAAGGCCCTTGAATTTATTCACAATTGGAAAGAAGAATCATAGGATCCATAGAGATTGTAACACTCAAATACTCGAAATAAAATACTACGATTGTTGCAATATTTTTCGGTCTTGATTTTATTTTCTCGACGCAATTTATTGTCTACAAATTCTGGCACGCCTAGTGGGACAATCTCTACCTCTCATCTCAACCTTTCAATCACCAAAGTTCAAGAATATTGAAATGGCTTCAAAGAAAATCAACTCCGTTTCAACTTCCACCAAAGCTGCTAACTCCAGGTTCTACGCTGATGTGGAAAGCATCCTCGATGTTACCTTTGGAAGCTTCGGACTAGTTACGAGGAGCAAGGCAAGCTCTTTAGGACAACAAGCACCCCAAGTGTCGTCCGCGTCAACCCCTATTTTAGGATCTTCATCCTCAAAAGGAGCAAGATCTTCCACAAACACATCTGAAGGAGGAAGCGATGTTGCTGAAAAGATCAAGAAAACTCTTGCTCTGCTTGACCTCTCCGGATCCAAGCACTCTGCTATGAAGGAAGATGATGATGCTTCAAGTGATGGATCCTCCCCACTTACACCACATAGCGTGAACCGATCAAGGATCAAT